AAGACTCGAATACGTGGTTTAATTGTAAGGTGGGTTCAAGACTCGAATACATGGTTCTTAAGGTGGGTTCGTGGTGATTTTAGATCATCTTTTTGTTCTTGGTCTTCTTCACATGGTTCGAAGTTGAGAAAAGGGGTGCATTTTTGTTGTACTCTATGAAGAACGGAGTAATAAATCACATACATAAACAATTCTCATATTTGTATAGTTTACTTTGAAAAGCCAAAAGACGTGTGTACGAATGGCCTTTTATGTAATATTTACCTTTTCGTTTGAATCTCGTAACTTTTTGTTTATTTATGATGCTTTTATCGTAATTTTTTTAAGGGGATATGGATAAGCAAAGTACGACCAAACCGAACGGAAATGAAACCAACTTCAATTTGGGTCTAGACTTTTCTAAAATTGTCGATGATTCGGTTTGATTTAGGACCATCTAGGTGGAACTGAAACTAGAATCAATGTGCTTTATTTTCAAACTTGAAACAATATCATTTTAAGTTTATATTTTTCAAGTTGAACAAATGCCAAAGTTTGGATTCGATTCATGACGCGGTTTTTATTCAATTCCATACATAACCGATGAACGGATTCAGATTAAACATATAGGTGATTAGTATTAATATCACTAGCTATTTATGCTAATCGAGTTTATTTTTCTTGTTTTGTCACTTTAGTTCAATAGTATAATTTGACTATTTTTCAGTCTTAACTAATTAAAAAAAAACTTTTAAATTAAATCAATATTGAGGAGTCTGTTTGTAATAAATAAATGAACTGTATACTATATTATTGTGTTTGAATTTTTTTTTTTTTTTTACTTAAAACAACTTTTTATAAAATAAATATTCAACCAGTTTTAACCGTTGGTATTAAAATAGGCTTTAAAATATGTGAATTTGTATAATATTAAATTGGTCAAAGGAGCCTTCACAAAAACGCAAAGACAATAATGAGCCAAAAATGAAAAACAAAATAAATAAAATAGTTGTTTTATTTTTAAGTTTATTAAATACATCTGCGTGTTCATAAACTAATTTTTTGAAATGTATTAATTTATTGCAAATGAAGGAAAAACAAGGGAACTAAGAAATATCTGATTTGCAAGACATAGATTAGGCCAAAACAGAAACAAAAGCATAATAAAAAACAGACAAATGAGGGCCCCAACAATAACTACTCGAGGATAGAGAAAGAAAAGCAAAGAGAGCCACCCTCCACACCAGTTCCCAAAAACTCAACCAGCCGTGGTGGAGCACCACCCAGGGCAGGAGGTCGGAAAAAGCTTATCCCTCTCGAAGATCTAGATGAACGAAGCTGGTTGAGTTTCAAAGATAATATCGATCGAGAGGGGTGAATGATCTTCTAAAACTACCTTATTCTGATAGATTCATATCGTGTATAAAAAAATCGCTTGCCATCAAACCCGTTGCCTCAGGGATACAATGAAGATCAACCAATTCGAAGACATCTTGTTGCGGATTTACTGTAACCATGTTGAGTCCCCACCACACGAATATATTCGACCAAGCAACCTTAATCCATTTGCAAGTAACATAACGTAATCGAGATACTCAACCTCTTCCCACATCTCAGACAAACAGTGGTGTGCAAGTCAATACCCATTTGATGGAGCAATACGCGCATTGGAATTCTCCCAAGATCTAGTCTCCAAATAAAAGAACAAAGTAGCAAGGAACCAGTCCGTTCAAATGGGTTGATGAAACAGAGGAGGAATGACAAATAATCAAATTATCAACCATAGAAGAAAGGGATTTAACAAATAGAATAAACATCATGCCCATGAACATGGATAACTAGATAAAGTCGGGTTCAAACGAGAACAATACACATTTAAGAGAATAAAAAAACGGACGAATTGTATGTGATTTTACACTAACATCACATACAAAATCATATGTGATCCACGCGACTTTGCTCTGCGATCTAAAGCCACAGCTAAAATGACCTGCACACCTTTTTTGACCATTGATATAAAATGATATGTGAATTTGCACATAATTTAACCGTTTTCGTATTCTTTCAGAAAGTAAGTAGGGTTGGGTTCACGTGAGACCAAGGGTTTTTCATGAAACCCGTAAGACCAATTTATGTTCATTGATCAACTTTATAAGTTAATGATCTAATGGTCTAAATTGCACAGTGTCAATTTTGTGATTATTGAGAAGTTTCGTGGCGTTTATGAATGTTTAGATTTCCATATTGTAGATCTAATCCAAGGGTTGACAATTGGTCATACGGGTCTCACGAAAAACCATTGATCTCACATGATCCCAAGTCAAGTAAGTATTCTTATTTGATCATCCCCTTATTAAATATACATGGATACCCCTTTCAATTATAAAAGTCATTACGTTAAAAATATAATTTTCCTATAAAAAATATAACATAGTGAAAATATTGTTTTAAAATCTAAGAACATAAGTAGATAGTAGATACCTAATAGTTAAACTGCACCTAAACTATTTAATATCATATTTGAATATGATAAAAAAAAATCATAGATATTTTTTTAATTTACAACGTAAATACTAAGAGGATGTTTGGAATTGCTTATTTAAAATGCTTATTAACTTATTTCGATATAGTACCGATAATAAATATTTTTTTTTTGTGTTTGGATGGGAAAAAAAAAGAATGCTTATACTAGTGTCAAAACCGGTAATAAAGAGTTTTTGATAAGTTACTCTATTCTAACCTATTATAAACAACTTATCGTATTTGAAAACCAAATTATTCTTTAACCCTTTTCTTTACCAGTCCACCGCTACTGGTAGAGCTGTAAACGAACCGAACGAACACGAATAGATGTTTGTTCATGTTCGTTTCGTTTAACTTAACCGAATGAACACGAACGAAAATCTTTGTGTTTCTGCACATTTGTTTAGAAAATCAGGTGTGTTCGTGTCCGTTTATGTTCGTTCGTTAACATGTTAAACGAACAGGCTAAATGAACATAAACAAACAGGTCTAAACGAACATAAACAAACGAACATTATTACTTGTCATTCAATTAACTATGACATAACAATTATCTATAGTTTAAACATACACAAAACAATCATCATTCATCAACCACCATCATTTGAACAAAAAAAAAAAAAAAAACAATTCACCACCATCATTTGTCACCTCATGGAAGTTCAATATATGTCATATCATCAGTTTCCTACAACAAATAAACAAAATAATTATTAGTTATTGTAAGAAAACAAGTATTATAATTCATAAGATTAAGCAAATCACCTTATTTTTAAGATGAATATAGTCCTTGAGTTATCTTATTGTTTCTCATGAGCCACTAATTCTTATTACACATGATCAATGATTTTTCTTAGTTCAGAGTTCAGACCTTCTTCAACAAAAATTTGAGCATTTGCTATAAATTTGATGCTAACAGATACTAGAATAGAAGGGTCAGGGGAGAAGACTGTTCTTCATCGAGTCTTCCTTATCAAAATGAAACCAGAAGCAATACCTACCCAAAAAAAAAAACAAAGCGATTTATAAAACAGTAACCAGAAGACTGAATGTGTATAAAACATATATACTTTTTATGACCTTGTTAAAGGAAACCAATTAATAGGGGACGAGAAAAACAAGCAGATCGGACATAGGAGAGAACAAAACAAGAGGAACCATATTTGTTGGGGGAGAACACAAACGAAGAAAAATGAAGCGAATTAGGGTTCACGTTCACAACCTTCTTCAACCCTCTACGATTTGCAGAAGGTTTCATCTGGAGGCTAGGGTTTTAGGGGAAAGTTGAAAAGATAAAAAATTCAAATAAGATAAAATGATGATAAAGTTTAAATCCAAATAAATTCCAAAAAATTAAAACTTTAAATAAATATTATTTGAATTCGAACTAAATAAATAAAAGATTATATATTAAATTTAATATATGCACGAACATAAACGAACGAAAGTTCACGAATATAAATGGACGAACGAGACTCTTGTTCATGGTCGTTCGTTTTACTAAACAAACAAAAAAAAATGTTCATGTTTATTCATTTATTAAATAAACGAACTTCCCGTCAAACGGTTCGGTGAACATTCGGTTCGTTTACAGCCCTTGCCACCGGCTACAGACAACCCACCCTAGCGGCCATCGACCGACGATCATGTTCTACCAGAGAGAAAGAGGCACAGAGAAAGATGGCGACATGAAATGAAGATAGATGCATTATGCATTAATTTCTACATGTAATTTCATCCACCTGCGTTGTTCTTCACTTAATGATGGTTTACATAACATCAAACGAAATATGAACTGAAAATCAAAGAACGAGACCGTCTTATGGCACACTTACAAATATTGGCGGGCTTTAGAGGGACACATATTAGGGTTTTAATTAATTCACTATTTATAGATCTCCGAGGCTCTATTCGTGTACTATCACTGGCTTTAGAGGGCGACGTATTAGGGTTTCGATTAATTTCGATCAATGTTTCTCAATACGTGTACTATACTAGAGCATCTGAAGCATACAAAAAACTACAAGCCTTGTATTGCCTGTACAAAGCAACTCAATGGTTCACGACACAGTAGCTTCAACATATTCGATTTCTATATTATGATCACAAACTATCTCCGATGAGTAGTAATGCCTTTAAGTTGTCATTCCTCTTAGATATGGAAGAATATCTTTTGGTCATTTACATGTATAAGCAAAATTTGTCAAAAATTAAAAAACAACTTATCAGTTTATTACGTTTTGGTATCGTCATAAGTTAATCCAAACACTTTTTATAAAACTCCGGTTTAATAACACATAAATTAATAAACATTTTAACAAAAAAAAAAAAAAAAACATAAAGTTGTTTTAAATAAGCAATCTCTAAGAACCCTAAATTTTTGGTTTAAATTAATTATATATTAATCATTAAATGACGAAATGATTAGAAAAAAACATCTATTAATTTACCTTTGCGAAAATAATGAAAAGGGAATTTTTCGCTTGAAGGTAAAATTCGGGGGGAAGGGGGAAGAAATTGGCGGGAGTAGGTTTCCTTCATCCTTAGGGCGATTTCATCTGTGAATTTGAATTTGTTCTTCAGATAGAGATCGGAAAGATGTACGCAAGCCAGTTCGACGGCGCCGCCGCCTTCTCGGGCGGTGGTTTTATGCCGTCTCAGGCTACTCAGACTGCAGACCCTTCACCCTCTGTGTTTAGTAAGGTATCCATTATTTTCTTAATCCTCCAGTTGTTCCCCATCTTTTAGCTGTTTTTTTGAGTGATTTTAAGTGGTTGTAGCTAGGTTTTTCAGTATATGATTTTGTTATGTGCAGAATCGCGATACACAGACGCTGGTTCCCTTGACTGTGAAGCAAATTAGCAAAGCGTTGTTGTCAAACGACGATAAAGTGAATTTTCTCATCGATGGCGTTGATGTGAACAATGTAGGGTTTCCTTTGAATCTTAATTTTTGTTGGGTTTTATACTTTGTCGATAAAACTATAGAATCCAGTGAATAACTGACGCAAAGAGTTGTTATTCTGAAGGGATAATGATGTCATGTGAATATTTTTGTCGATTGTTAATATTTGGAAGTATTCTTTTGAAAATTTCACCATTTTCTTACTCAGGTAAAGTTACTGAGCACCTTTGTTTTTTTTTTTTTGAACATAGGTTAAGTTGGTGGGGATGATATTCAACAAGGCTGAGAGGGTTACTGATATTTCTTTTGTGCTTGATGATGGCACTGGTCGTATTGACTGCAACAGATGGTATCAGAGTTTTATTGTGTTTATATATCCCCCCTATTTTATGGTTTCACAACATAAATTTGTGTGCTTGTGATGTTTTAGGGTACATGAACCGGTAGACACAAAGGAGATGGAAGCGATGGTGTAAATTCCCAATTCTTTCTCGGTTTTCAAATGAAAAATTGAGTTGTTGGATTTTTAGCTTGATTGGAATTCTGACATTGATTTTCTGTTCTTCTCTTTTGTTTCTAAAAATTTAGGGATGGAATGTATGTTCGAGTTCATGGCCAACTGAAAGGCTTTCAAGGGAAAAAGCAGTTAGTGGTTTTTGGTATCAAGTATGATTTTCAATGCATTCGCTTTATCATTGATCTTCAATTTTAAATTACTTTTGTTTTTAATGGTATTTGCTGACTGTCCCTTTAATCTGTAATTTAGTTCACATTTGTAATAATGGTAGTTGGAAATCTAAACCATGCTGGCTCTATGCCGAATTATGTTTTTCTTCTCATGGTTTGATTAGATGATCTTAGTTTACTAGAAACAACGTATAATCTATGGATTTTTGGAGCTTCTTTTAAGATCTAGAGCTACTCTGAAGCGATTTTGGTGCTGTTCCCTACACCACTTAACTTGGTGTTTTTTTCTTCCTTTTCAATGTTTGGCTTGGTCTCGTGCTGTTCTTTTCTTCCTTTTCAAAGGACAATTGACAAGATCAATGATTACTTCTATTAAGTCCCACTACTTTGATTGGTCTTCTGTAGCTCTAAATTTAAATCAACGAATCAAGCTAATTTTGTGATATCGTACATACATGCTATGTAAATTTGGATATGTGGAGTAAGTTTGATTTATAGAGATAGTCATATCACTGAAATTTGTGTCTGTTTATATTTGACTTCTATGCTTACTCCACCCTAGCCCATCCCCTTCTTTTCTCAACTTTCTACGTCAGAAAATTTAACATGGATTTTGTGTTTTTTCTCGACCAATTTGAATTCATATTTTTTAATTCTAAGTTCCTCTTATTCACACCTTGGCCTGCCAAAAGTAGAATCAGGGGAGGCTTTGGAAGAAAGGTTCTGAACTAGAGCCCTACCTAAAAACTGATTGCTTACTAGATTCAACATTCATTTGTAAGATCAAGCTCGGCTAGTGGATCTTTGATTTGTTCACACAAGTCTGGTTAGGCTTGGTTGATTCTGTCAGAAAAGAAAGTAGGTTTCTGTTCATATATGTTAAGACTTTAAGTATTTTCCCAAAAAGTTTAAGAATCCACAACATATTGTACTTGCTTAAGGATCCATTTGAAGTCAAAACATAACTCTTTATGGGAACAGCGGAAGCATATATCTAATATTCACTCTTTTGATTTCAAATGCATTGTTTCGTGTAGTGTCATGTTGATGCGAAACAGTGAACAAGTACAACAGGTGCTGAGTGTTGCAATCTCTTGGATTGTATTTGGTAGAGCTGCTTTTCTCTGTGTTCATCTAACTTATGGTGTAAAAGGAACAATTCTTGATGTGTTGGCAAACACATATAGGTAGATATCCCTATCAAATTATTTGAATGGGAATCCTTTTTGAGAGAAGTTGTTGGAGTGCTACATCTGGAAATCAAAGACAGCATCCTGATACATTGAATGGCAACTGAAATTTACATGTTAGCTTTCTTGATTTCAGTAGAAAGCTTCAACATTAGAGAGTAGAGAGAATTTTGGAGTAGTGTTTTTCATTGATCTGAGATGATGATTTTCTCATCTCTTTTGGAGAATACATGGAGTATATATGCAAGTATGCTGACTCATTACATTAAGGATGAATTAGTTATAGAAGTCAAAACCAATCTCTGACAAACTAACTAATTACAAGGAGTTTGTTTCTAAGACGGTGATGATATGTCAAGGAGCAAGGAGGAGGCTCTGACAGTGCACATATATACAAAGATACACTTGAGAAGTTACTAACTTACTATGAATAGTTGGCGTAGAAATATCAGTTTTTGAGCCTCATGAACAATCTTCTTGGAAGCTGTAAGTGATACGTATTTATTGATTCTGTGCAATGTGAACAAACAAGATGAAACTCTCTTTCTGCCCCAATCTCCGGAGTCACAAACTTCTATACAAGAACCACAAGGGTTGTGGCGTAGTGGTTGAGGCCCATGGGATATGGTAGAATATCCCATCCGACGCAGGTTCGATTCCAGGCATCCACCACAATTGTGGCCACCGAGCTTATTAAGGCTGATGTCTTACAGTCACAATTTGCTGGGATTAGTTTGAGCATAGCCTGGGACACCCTTCCAAATAAATTTCTATATAAGCTTCAGCTGCTGGATTGAGGTCTCATCAATATATCTAGCTTCAATACCCAGATGAGAGCAAGAAAGGCGAGCATAGAGATGTGTGTCATCATTAGATCACGTAATTACGAGGAGAAAGTGTGTGAAATACTCTTGGCATGTGCCATGTTGGGTATCGTAATACGTCTTTAGGGGAATACTAACATGGATTCTAACAGTTTATTATTTAATCAATTAATTTAGCATTGGACCTATTTGAATGGCTGAAAAGAATTTGGACTTCAATGACATATATTCAGTTAAGGATCAGTTGAGTTGAGTTAGGAAATTCTTTTGCTTTTTTGTTTGTTTGTCCTTAAGAAAGGAAATGCCTTCTCATTGAGAACTGTGTATGGATGCATGTTAGCTAATCTTTATTTGTTTGAATTGTTTTAGATTTATCTTCATGGTTCCACTTTTTCTTTTAATTTTCTGTTTTGACAAAGATCTCAAAGCATTTTTCATGTCACCTCCACACCCTTAATTTGTCAAGGCTTTTAAGAACCTTTATTTGTATATGACGTGATTGTTTAATTTTCTGCATTACTATATCACTTATTTTACTTCAACTTGCAGGCCCCTGACTGATTTTGATGAGATCACACATCACTTTGTTGAATGTATATATGTCCACTCTTACAACACAAAGTTAACGGTAAAATTTGGCAACTTCACTCTGATCTCTTTTCATTTCACACATGATATTCAAAGATGAATGCTTGGAACTCTTTTATGTGCGTGTTTATGATGAAGAGGATGTTTGTCTGTGATAGAAGCTACAACCCAGTAGCAGTAATCAAGCTCATATGCCAAGTTCAGCTGTTAGCACACAATCATACCAAACTGCCCCATCAAATCAAGTAAGCTGTTTTTCGTTTTAAATGCATTAAAAGTTGCTCACAGTAACGGTTTACAAATTGCAAACTGCATATGACATCCAAGGTAGGCTCCTGTTTAAAAGTTGCTTACTGCATCCTCTCTGTTTTGTGATTCTTAGTTCACTGGTCAGTATGTTGCTGACGGACTGAGGGGTATTGATAAAATGGTCTTGGATTATTTGCAGCTGCCTGGTAGTTTGTAAGTTCTTCAACCAATTATTGGCGTACGTTTGTTTTAGTTTTAGTTTTAATGACGGTTAGATGGTGGAGTTGAATCTGTAATGAAGCAAAAAATAGCATGTGAAAGAATTTTTGATGCAGCAGTTGAAAATGATATTGTATGTTGTGTTTCAGAGCAAGGGAATCAGGGGTACATCAAGAAGAGCTTGTTAAACAACTGGGGATCCCATTGGACAAGATATTGTAACTCTCAAATTCTATTTTTAATCTTGTGCAAACTTATGAAAGTTATTTTGACAATTTTTTGTTAACAGGGTGGCGCTTAACGGTCTGGTAGACGAGGGGCTGGTTTACTCATCAATCGACGATTGTCACTTCAAGTCCACTGGCAATGCCTGAGTTTCTATGACTGTTTTCGTGGTTTTCGTAGTATTTGTTTCTAAAGTTTTCGAGGTTGTGTGCAGATGCCTGCTTTTTTTAAACTGTTGGGCTTAATTTGCTACATCTTTTGAATCTAAAGTATTGTTCTTCAAAGGAAAAGTTGATCATCTTATGTTATCTGATTTTTTGTTTTTTAGCATTCTAAAGTCGATCATCCTTTGGCTTAGCCTTATTTGGGCCTTTTGCCGAGGTTGGAGTTCCAAATCTTACCAAAGATGGAGAAGAATGTGTGAGTTTATTTATTGTATTTACAGTATATAAATATTATATAATTGGAAAGCGGTGTGGAAAACGTGTGCTGTGTGGGCTAACCAAGACATGGTGCAAGAAGTGGGTGCTTTGGGCAAGGAAACCAAACCCCGTTGAGGAGAGCCTTGGGTCCAAAAAGAGGGGCATTGTTCTGTTTTCGATTTATGGAATATGTAAAATAACGTTATAAGTAGTAGTATTTCATGGCTAGCTTTTCAGAGGGATTATGGCCTTTAGACCACTAAAATTTGAGGCAATAACAAGTTTGTGATGCTATAAGATGTTTTGGGGCTACATGTTTGATTGGTTAGCTAGATCATTAAGCATACTATTCTGGTTCTAGTGTGATTTATAATTCATTGTTTTTTTTGGTCTGTGATTTACAATTCATTGCTCTTTTGATCTCCTGTACAACCATCAACAAAGTTGACCTCAGGTAGGAAAACCACAATGAATTATTAATCACTGACAAAATTAAATTCAGAATCTGAACACTGATTCATGGAGTCGGTCCTTTATCGTCACATAATGCCGTTTGATTAATGTTATTGGCTGTTATAGGTGTTTAATTATATGATTACCTGATGACCACCTTTTTTGATCAACTAAATTTTTTTTTCTTGATGACAAATAGGTTGTCTTTGTGTCAAATGAAGTCCGACTCCTTTGACAAATATGATGATATAAAACGATTGTTATTTGTTGTTAAATAATCAAAGTATATTTTATTTCCAAACCTAGTAAGTTAAAGCAGAGTAACTTATCAAATTTATTTTACCGGTTTGACACTTATATAAGTTTATTACCGGTACCATACTAAAATAAGTCAATAAACAGTTTTCATAAGCAATCCCAAGCACCCCCGATACAGAAGCCTCATCTTACTGAATTGTAGATGCACGCTTTGATCCATCTCAGGCGAATTTCAAGGAGCAACCCAAATCCAGGCGATTTCGAAGAGGAAGGAACAAACCTAGATCCAGTCGAACACTCACCAAAATCTTCCTTTGTTTCGTCTCTTCTTATGGTGCATGACCCCGAGTTGAGGAACCAAGATCCAAAACGATGAAAATCGAGATTGAGTCCGACTCAAGCGAGTGATTGAAAGGCGTGCCAAGAGAACGAGTTCAACTCGCGAACGATAAGCAAGTGAACAAATTTATGGTTCTTGATCTTCATATGTTACTGATGCGGATGCTTAGAGGATTTCGTAGGTTCTATGTTGAAATGGTTTTTTTTGATGAAAAATCAAAATGTCGAATTGTTCTTAATGTTGACGTGATGCTGGTGAATAATCTGATCGAGGAAGGAAAAGGAAATGAGAGGACGAAAAGAAGTAAAATAACAGATTTGCATGCAAGGGATATATGCATCCATCTGACTGAAGTTTTTAATGGTGTTAAGTAGAGGGACCATGGGTAACCATAGGAACACCGGTGTAACTCGCTCTATTTTATAATCCAACAACAAATGCGATCGTCTTATTTTTCCTTTCGATGATAAGGGGACGAAACTTAAACATATGATCATAATATTTACAAATTCTTCCCAAGTAAACTACGTTTTTGGTTTGTTATTTTCGTTCCGTTGCTTCTATAATTACGATTTTCATCCTTGTGCTTTATAAATCATTGTTGTTTTCGTCCCTCATATTTACCGGTAAACCATTAATGAAATTAGACGAAAACAACAATGAATTTCAAACCGTAATTTCAATTCACAATATTTAACAAACCACAAGTATGAATAACATGGTACATAAAAATTGACATTCTAACCACAAGGGTGGTGCATGATAGGTTTGAACTTGGCTCCAAAGGTCAAAAATACCAGGAGGTCCCAAGTTCAAATCCAATGATAAATAAAAATACCCTTGTGGCCACGAAGGTTCAAATGCGGGGACTCCGGGCTATTTGCAAAGCAGATGGTCGTTCTGGGATTAGTCGGCTCGCATAGCGGGTTAGATATCCAGGTTAATATTTTTTTTTTTTGGCATTCTTCAAACTTCAAAGGCAGAAATCCAAGCCCATATAAATGGGCCAATTGAGAGAGAAATCTTATCTTCAAATAAATTAGATTGCATACACCAAACCAAAATGATTATTTATCCCCAAATGGTTTGTCACTCATCCAATACACACAAGGGTTTGAAGTCTCATTCAGAAATGTTCTGAAATATGAACAAATAAGATGACTGTTATCATAAGCTTGCTACCATCAAAGCATATTTTTCGAACTCGTTATCATGTGATAGTAAAAGCAAAAACATATGGTAGTTCTTTACGAACCTATTGTTTACCCGTATGATAAACACAGCCCAAAAACTTAGGGGAAATGTCGTTATATGAGTATCGATACAAGTTAGAATGGGCGTACCCCGCTTGCTCGAGTCTTCTACCAAAGGCAGCCGGTCACTTCTGCAAACAAAAGAGAATCATAAGACAAATTGAGGATGAGAATGCAATTCTTATATACGTATAAAGATTTGGTCTTTATTTTCATACACGGGACAACTTACGAAAATATAATGGAAAGAAAGTCGATAACCATTCTCTGCACCCAAAATTGCATCCAGATAACAAGCCAAACAGCCGAAACTTACACCACGCTGAAGGTGTTATTAGTCTTTTGACCTATGCTTTCGTTTCTTACTCCTGAATCGAAAAGCAAGTGCAAGAATTGTTAGATGCTTAAAATAAGTCAAATACGACTATTTGTCAAGTAAAACAACAGCAATTTTAGGAATCTAATAAAAATAAAAACCAGGCATAAAGAGACTACTTTTCATGAGAGCCTGGATCCCGACAATATTTCAGCTTCCTGTCAATGTGTTTCATATCCGCAGCAGTAGGTGTCACAAGTTTATTTACCTATATAATCAACCAACAAGAAATTGAAGTGAACCATCAGAAATTGGCTCCATATTACTTGTTTAGACATATCTGCATGCATTGAAATGAAGAACTACTGCCCCAAGTTGCAGTTTTTCTCTCCTTAAATGATACTCCCCCGGTCCCAAAATAGAAGTCCTCAACTAAAAGTCACAGTTTTAAAATTGTGCAATTAATACACTTTTTATTAACTAAATGGCAATTGTACCTTTAATAATAGAGGGAGTAATTAATATCTGCATCTCATGATTAAGGGTACAATTGGAAATTGATGCTAACTTTTGAAAGTGTATACTTCTTTTGAGACAAACTAAAATAGAAATGTGGACACTTATTTTGGGACGAAGAAAAGTATTAACAAATTGAAGATTACAATAAATGCTTTTCATGTGTCACAAGACCATGTCCATCTATATTTACCAGCTGGTCAATAGCATTCAGAAAAACTGTGAGCTCAGAAACGGGATGTGCTGGATGCTGACGAGAAAGAATGCTGTCCAGGTATCTGCATAGAAACACAACTTAAATGTGCACATTAGATATTAATTTAAGACATACTGCTGATAATACTTCTGGAAAAAAATTAAACCTTTCGAAGTCAACCACTTGATGCTCCTCGTTTGATCTACGCAGAGCAGCCAATGCCAGCTAACCATATCACCAAAAACAAGTCAGAGAAGCTGAGATATGGCCTAGAGAAGAAACTGATTAATATCTTTCTCATTGTATGTCAGAATATTTTTCATGTTCTGGATGCCTCACCAGTTTTTGTGCTGTTATACGATATGCGTATAGTCAGACTTATAATTAGACTTGCTAGCAAACAGTTATCCTGAAGCACTCTTTAAGATAGTTCAAGATTTCTTTTTCCAAAAAAAAAAAGGATAGTTCAAGATTTGCAGAATTGTATCCCCAATGACTGGTGTGAGAAGACAAAAACCTGCTCAATACAATCGCAGTAAATGCAATATCTGGTCCAGTGGTGATGCGAGATAGTAAGGTTTATCAACTAGTTTCCTTTACCTCACAACAAGCTCATCATCATGTTGATAAAACTCGACGTTTGGGATCATCAAAGAATCTGCTACACAACTACCAAGCATGTAAACCACGGGTAATGTCTAAGATACTTGATACTTCCCCTTGTTACAGGACCTAGCTACCAAGAAAATGTACGACTACTATATTCCTCAGACAGTTCCTCTGGATAAAGCATATCAGAGTTGCAATCCCTGGTGATTGCAATATTAAAACATAGAAGATCAAGTCCAAAACAATTCATATACCATCATTCTGCCCAAAGAAAATTGTGAAGTCATGTTTACTACATGGCATCTCAAATTTCACGAGACCCAAGAGAAACAAAAAAACTGAACCAGAATGGAGGCCATACCATGACCCCTAAACTGGGAAGCCCGGAAAGCCTCCTCCAAAACCACACAATTGAAAATGTGCAAATGATGAGTAACAGCATAAGTTATTAAACTTAGTGTAACCTTAGCAAGGGGTAGGTCTCGGAGCAGTGTTAAGTACTAATCTCTCTTTCAGTCAAGCAAAAGATCCATCATGTTATAACTTTCCAGTATACAGCGTCTCAGATCAAACCAAATGACCATCAAGAAGATCTCATATTGCAATTTTTGTAGAACATCCATTGTCCTCACTCCTCATTAATAACATGTCACTTGGAAGCATTACAAGGAACATGATAACCATTCATAGCTAAGATGAAGGCATAAAAATAGAACATGACATGATATGAATAGGATATTCACATCTCTCACTAGCATAGCAATGCAAGTATGATATCTGTTTTGTCGGGTAATGGGGATATCTGATGCGTCTTGGGTAGTACCAAAAGTTGAACAGTCACTTGCAGGCATATCAGAGAGTGGAATAACTGGGGATGCAACTTGAGCCTCACCAGAGTCATGAGCAAGAAGTGAGTGTCAGCGGATATTTCATTGTGTCCCTTCCTCACACAGTATACTGGAAAATCGAGTACGAGGGATCACCATACTCGGAGGTCCAAAACACGATCTCAATCAAACAATCTAGATACTAATAGACATAAGATTAACCCTGCTACTTCAAAAGGACGGACTCTAATTTCAAAAGGTAACATAAGCATAAATTTAACTATTTCCCAAGGCTAGGTACAAGACGCTGGTACCATTTTAACACACCAGAGTTACCTGATCTAGATATGCAATGATTCACAATACACATACCGGTCAATGGTACGTATTGTTCATGGTGTGTGGTTCGTGAGAGGTAGTATTGTTAGGTATGTTATTATTTATTACAGATATCTTGTTAAGTTCAAATTAGGTCTCATTTTAGTCAATAAAAAGAATGGTTGGGATAACAAACATCCATCTCTGTAAGGTGTTGGGTTAAGTCCCGCAATGAGCGCAACTCTCGTGTTTAGTTGCCATCATTGAGTTTGGAACCATAAACAGACCGCCAGTGACAAGCCGGAGGAAGGATCGCTTAGCCATGCTTCATAATTTATTGAAGCATCAACATTTTGTCTTCCCTATTTTACACTTCTCTCCTCTTTTTCGTCCAGTTTATGCCTCTCTTCCTTACCATACAGTAATTCAACAAGATAAAAGATATCTTGAGGTACATTGTCCACATTTTTTGGTTTTTTCCTTCAGTTCAAATTTGATTGGAACTGTGTTTGCATTTTACCTATTCCTTGAGATTTCCAGATTCACTTATTTTGACGAACCAGTTTACAGAAGTACCTATAAACAGTAGGGACAAACCCATTTGTTTTACGTGGTTAGGAAAATCTGGTAACATTGCCTAGATTATCCAACAAACATGCACGATTTACCACATCAACTTTGGTCACATGATTTATCCGCCTAATGAGGTTTAGTTTGCTCGATTGACTTTGCTCTAATATCTAGTTTGATACTTGGCTTCCATGTGTTTTTGTGTAATTTCATCTTGCTCTAGATTATGTTTATGGTTTGTTCCCTTGGTTGGCACTAAATGAAAGGAGATTGTTTTTTGCACTCGAATTTTCCATACGACATGTATACGGGGATGGGAGGATATTCTTCAGGTTTATAAGATTGGTTTCTCTAAAGTGTCGATGTCTATTTCGTTTGCAAGTTGCACATATGCATGCTCCAAAATAGAGTTACATTGGGCTTATTAGTGAAGGCAAATGCTAGTTCATTTCACCACTATAGTCCCTGTCACAGTTATACTAGATATTCGTAACATCCTCAGTAATAACATACTAATTTGGCTATGACACTAATTTGTTTCATAGGAATTCTAGATTGAAGTTGTCATACCCTTGATTTTCTTTGACATAATGGCATCTCAAACAATTTAAGAGAAAACAAACAAGAACAATTGTGCTTAACGTATTCAGTAGAACATATAAAGAAAAATTAATAATATTATGTTTCATCCGACTTCAATTTCTTCCTTCTAAACTGTCCAAGCATGGAGAACAAGAGAAAAAAAAAGCTTCAACAAAGCTATCTAATAAGACTGAAATATGAATACCTGGCCAGGAGAAAACAAAAGAGGTGCCTCCGTACGCATTGTCTTATCTGCTACCATCTTTGCTGTCTCATGTAAATCCTATAGCAAACACAAGCATGACAATCTAATGAACATTTTTTGGGACAGAAGAAAAAGAACCTCCTTTGCTCAATACTTGCACATATATGAATAGAGCTACATGAAATTAGATGATGGAACTTCCTCCAATGAAGAGCCACTTGAGGTGACAGAAAAAAAATATAATTGTTCTATTAGAGAGTGTGAGTAGAAGTGACATAATGGGTGTTTGGATGTGACTGAAAAAATCAATATTATTTGTATAGGCAAGGGTGATTGGATGTGCACTTTTAAAGTGGTCATTGCAACTTGAAGGATTATAATCAATATCAGATAGTAAGTTGCTTAAAGAAAGAGATAGAGTGCATTGTGTAGACAAGAACCCACCCACCCTATTTTACCCAAATAGAAAATAACACCATAAGGGGGAAGGAGAAACATAGAACAAAACTAACATTAATACCATAGTCCTGAACTTCTTTGTACCCAAATAAAAAATAACATCATGAGAGGAAGAAAGAGAAACATACAACAAATTAACATAAGTTTCACGATCCCAGATAGTTCACACATGACCTGCTTTAAGCCTTTTCTTTTAAACTATTTGCGGGATTTCAAAGGGAAAAATGAACTTCAAAATAGGGAAAAGTACACACTCCTTTTTTCAAGACGCCATGTAAAGACGATGAATAACAAAAAGTATATATCTGGAAGATATTTACATTTTGATAAAAACAAAAATGAAACATATTTCAGCACAATCGAGGATAGAGGTAACTAGAACCTTCAGATGTTGAAGTTGACCATTGTTGGAATAGATAAAATCCTAGTAGGAAAACAGCAAGTGCAAACCATTAGCATAATACAATGATATGCGGAGAACTTATCAAGTAGTAAGAAGTATAAGAAACAAATACAAATAGAATCTAGCAGAAGTTCAGAAAAGTGGAGTGTTTGGACAAAACAATCTCAAGAAGTCTGTAAGGGAATGATGAAGAGAAAAGGGAAAACCAACTTCCATATCATTGATAAAACCATCAATTGAGCGGTAAGGCGAATAAACGATAAGATCAAATCCAAGCGACTGCAAAAGAAATAAACTAATGTTCAAAACAGGAAAGCCACAAAAAGTACAACTGAAAAATAAAGTCATGTGGGTCACTTCATGCCTGAAGAACAATCATCTCATTGTTGAGAATCACATGATGATCCTGATCAATCCCCTTACCAAGCTCTTCAGCTGATACATGATTTTCTTCTGCTTTACAGGCCGTATATATGCAAGTCAACCTGTTCATGGAGACCTGTTGAATCAGAATTGTGGAAGCCTAAAGTGCATTAAAAGGAAATTGTTATCATCCTATAAGTTACATAGAACTACATCAGCATTAAGAAAGATGCAACTGTTTCGACCTCAAACCCTACTACCCGCACAATCTTCTATGCCAATAAGAAACATATAGAACGGGAAAAGAATAAAGATGAGAAACATGTAAGCTTTCCTTCTTAAGAAAACAAATGCAAAGTAGGTTATATCAACTTTACATGATGTCTTTTGGATGGTGCTCCATCACCGACCATTGCAGATAGAACCTTTTAAAATATATGAGCGCTGTTGCCTGCAAACCATAAAAAAGTTCCAGAATGGTAGCTGAACAAGGGAAAACATACCCTACAGTTCCATTTATGATATTTGAAAAAGGAACTTGAGTACCTGTATTTTTCGAGGGAATTTGAAGGCATCACATACGTCTTGAATTTTGAACTCATAAAATGCACGCAAAAGTTGTTCCTCGTCTATCTTAAGTGGTTTTGAACGAGAATGTTTCTCGGCTAATTGCAATTCAAAGTGAAGAGTAATCAGCTAACAAAAGGCAGCCTGCTCATGTAACTTTGCTAAATAAAACTATAAAAGCAGAGTGAACTTGATGAGGTCAAGAATTGTTCTTATATACCATTGTCCTTCGCATCACTTTGAAGCTCCGGATATGCCAAGGAGCCATCAAGATCAACATCCACCCTTGTCGCTCCATACTGCACAAAGATCAGATGATAGGTCAGAGAAAAATAATTATTCATGATGTACCAAATATGTGACCCAGTACTTAAAACAAGTAACAAGTAGTATTGGTCGAATCATCATGTTAGGCATGGTGCCTACCATAATAATGAGAAAACAGCACCAAACCAACAGTTTCAGTCTCTCAGATGTGAAAGTCGAATCTAAACCCACAACATGTGAATAGTTGAAAAACTAGTTAAGAGATGAACTTTCTTATAAGAGTAAATAGAAGTGTCAGCTTCCAGGATGATCAGTAGTCTTGGTTTGTACGGTCAGGTGGTTTACAGGTCCACCAAGATTAATTAACCCCTACCTCTTAGCATCATTCACCTTCCAATACCTTGTTTACCAGATGATCATAGAGAAAATCACCATAAAGACAAGAGAAGAATTATGCTCAAGGTGCTAGAAAGGTACAAAATGTTCTATCAATCTAATTTTTTTGCCAGGCTAACGACAGTGTGATTCTGGTTAAGAATTGATAGATCCTGTTTGTATGCATATATTGCTTATTTTTCATAGTACCTGTCAAAGTTTATCAGTGCATACGCAAATTATACTCTTTCTAGGGATATAATGAAGAAAATAGAAAACACAACAGTATGTTTCCTGAACCCAGAGTACCCATATGTAGGATGGAGCTCAAGCAAAGCATACTCAAGGCTGAAAGAGACCAAAAACAGAGAGGTCACCATATCCCTATCAAGGGCTGGAATACCTTGCTAAACCACCTGTAGATGAAGAAATTCTAAACAGAACACTCACTGTACCCCTATGGTAGGATGACTCAAGACCGTACCCATACAATGGTACATGCAATCAGTTGCTATAATCCTTGGATTCCGGGAATTTGTGATAGATTCTCAATCTTCCTTGTTACAATAACTTGTACTAATTATCCGTCCTTGGTCCCAAAGCTTTTGAAACACTAAACACGTACCCAAATGGTACATGCAATCAGTTGCTAATGTCCTGGATTCGGGAAATTTGTGATAGATTCTCAACCCATTTCCTTCTTATCACAATGACTTGTACTAGCTATCTGTCCTTGGTCCCAAAGCCTTTGAAACACTACAAAAATCCCTGGATTTGGGAAATTTGTGCAGATTCACAACCTATTTTCTTATCACAATACCTTTCATTGTTACCATTTCCATTTTTCTATCCACGTCTTTCATGTTGTCTTCCAAAGAACTAACACCTATGATACAGTTTTAATATTTTCCATTGAAAGTACTCGTTTCTTCCGTATGATTATAAAACAACCGAATTCTTGAGACTAAAGTAACAGAAACTCTAAATTTAAAAAACAAAACGAACACAATAAAAAAAGGCATGCTAACAGTATGCTATTTAAGTCAAAGTTGTTGCATACCTTTTCCAGCATCTGTTTTGCTCTATGATTAGCAGCCTTGTATTTCTCCTTCTAGATAAAATTATTCAAAACAAATATGAATTAGTAGAAACACTTTCAAATAATTTGAACACATAAAAGTTGAAGGATATGTTGAACTACAATGAAGGACTGATTAGAGAAAGCAAGAGGCAGCATACCAAATCTTGGGGAACAAAGATCCACTTGGACCGGTGAGTAGAAGTTAAAAAATCAGCCATGGCTGACTATTAACTGTGTAAACTTGAAGCAGATTAATAGCCAAACGACTGAATAAAGGTGAATGGCTGCTTGTTCTGCACATATACACAAGATAATTTTCATGAAACCATACCAACCTCTCTAACTACACTTTAATTTCTGCGCATGAAGACCCATGTCGTGAAAACAATCACTCCATATACCCCCTCCATTTAAATCAAATGATCCAACTGCTTCTGAGTCATCGACCTTACTATTCTAATAAAGCGGTTTCAGAAGGTGTCTCATAAAACGCCACATGAGATACACTATAAAATCTACATAAACACATTTTCAAAGCTTTGGCTGATAGAAGTAAATTTAGGTCCATGTGAAAAATTAGTCCATACTGATCTAGAGTTATCAACCTTCAAACGTAACAATTCTTTTTACTTTTTATGTTTAGGTTAAAGTTTTATTTGTTTTAGGGAGAAGTAAATGTTCTCCAGGACCAATCTTTTCTGATGAGAGGCAAATGTGGCTACAATACAATATCCCTCCACGTATTAAAGGATAAGACTTCGCTATTCAAGTCTTCAAGCAGGAGACAAGTGAATTCTTTAGCCAACAAAGAACAAACAACGAAAAAAAAGCACATAACAAATCCATATTGTTGTTTCAATACAGCAAACAAAATAAATGAACAAAAAGGTTATGGCAAACCTTAATATTGTCGATATACATATTTACATCAAACATATGAGTTTATGAACTGCTACTGCCAAGAGTTGGAATCAGAGCTTTAATATCTTCTATAAGTCCTTAATCCTCCATTTCATTTTCATCTAAACAAGACATGAAGTTTCCATGAATTTTTTTGCCAGTCATGTGAGGGAATTAAGTAGTGAGTGACTAAATAATCCACTTAACAAACCAAGTTTATAATATCAATACCCTTGTACATGCATCTTTAAGATGATGAAAATGCAGCAAATTGCTTTATTGATTAAAAGAAATCATTACAGCTATGTAAGCAACCAGTGGCAGACCTAGGATTTTAGGTGAGCAGGGGCACAAACGAAAAGCTTAAGCCAAATTCTTCAAGTAAAAACACGATTTCATTAAAACAATAAAACAAGATACCTTCTACAATCGTTCTCAACGAGGACTCATCTTTTGAAAGCGGTTAAGAATACCATCAGTCGTGACATTTCAAAGCCGCTTGACGTGTTTATAGTCGAATTTCATAGTTCGAGAGATTTTTTAAGTTTTTTGGTTGATTAGAGACTTTTTTGGTTGCTTTCGAGAAATTTTTTTTCATTTTCTGGTTGACTTCGAGTGACTTCCTCGGTTTTTTGGTTGATTTTGTAAAATTAAAAATAACCTAAGAAAATTAACATCAAATAAATCAATTTAGAGCAAATGACTAATATCAAATTAACGCAAATAAATCAATTTAGGGCAAAGTCAACAAGTAAGGTTGAGAAAATTTAAAATAATCTAAAAACTCAAAACAGATAAATCATGCAAACATAACTGTATAACATTATCACCAGCCAATTTAGAACAAAGGACTAATATCAAATTTAGGGCAAAACCCCAACTAAAACTCAATTGCTCAAATGTAAAGCGTCAAAACAAACAAATAAATCTTGTAAACATAATTGTATAACATTAGAACCGATCAATTTAGGGTAAAATTTTAAATTTGAATTAGGTGTTGGGACAACCTGAATGAGAGATTGAGACAGTGGTGAAAGCCTAAGACTGAGACTCTAAGAGAATGAGAGTAATTGGCCTGAGAAAGTGACCGTACGTCCAACGTCAGTGTGGCCGGAGAAGGTGACCGTGCGTCCAGCGTCAGTGTGTGCGAGTGGAGCCGTGGAGTACGTCCAGCGTCCGTGCGAACAGGCCCGGAGGCGCTGCGTATTTGATGCTTTTAGAAAGAGAAAATAATAATTTACACTATTGGTCCCTCCGTGACCGTGAATGAAACATTTTAATTCATGCATCTTTAACCCCTTTGGTTTCTTAAATATCTTGGAGTATCCCTAAACTTTAGCGGTTGCACATTTCGTACTTTAATTTTACTTGTAAAATCAGATTGAACAGGTGCACGAGACCCCACTACCACCTCTATAGCCCCTGTAAGTAACCACTACACTTCTGCAAAAGACTTTTTCTAGGCCAAGTACCCCACGTCAGTCATTGATCTCATTCCTCTATGGGTCACCCAACTTTACAATACGGATATAATGTTTCTGACTTCAAAATTTGACTGTATATGTAGTTGGTTTCCAAAGTTATATGCTCTTGCAGAAACAAACTAGAGCCATAACTTAATTTGGATTTAAACATAACCAACCACACAATTGGGTCAATTTGGATACTAAATTTAACCATCCCGTCTTTTACATCAAGGGTTATGATTAATGGATAATTGTTGGGGATTCATATCCAACATATACTGAATCATTTTCAAGGACCATTTTGGTGCGTTGTGGGGGCTTAATTGACACATATACTACACAATCAATCATGCATAAATGTGAAATATAATGCTTATAGCCGGTTATTAATTTGTAAGCATGAAATTGGTTGACTAGTAGTAGGTCTAAAAACCGAATAAGTAAGGTTGCATGTAATATTTGCATAACCCGGGTGGATGTGGGTAAATTGGCATGCATAACCAATGTTTTAAATACCATCTATATTGTTTTGATGACAACTTTTACGATACCATTTTATATATACACATGGGATATAGGAAATTTTACATTGATCCTAATACATATTCAATAATCATCAAATCCTTATGATGTAACTTCTCTAGTATTCCAAGTCATGTAGACTTGTTGAGATAAACAGGGTGGTGAGCCTTTAAACGTATAGCTAGTGCTAGGAGTGTATTATTTCATGTGAACAATAATACGACATGCGTTCATCGTGTCAAAACCAGAACCATAAAATACTTTAATGGCCCATATTCTGGATGTTTATGTCCATAAATATCATCTTGTATTCATTATAGGAATGAAATATTTTTGTATTATGTCATTAGTTTTACGATGGTCTCATTTCTGTCTTATATAAGGATCAGGGTTTGCAAAAGTTTTAGGTACTCGATAGGGCATGTTATGATTGTATTGTTGCTTCTTGTGTTGCAGAAGTCAACGGTTACAATTTGGTTAATTATCTCATTTTGCCTTTCACTCGAAAGATAATGTGTATATGTTTATTTTGCAACACACGAATCATTGTGTCATGACTATGGTGTCTTATGCGGTCATGTTGAAACATATATGTGTCATTGTCCCAAAGTTCTTTATTGGTGACAAAATATGATTCAATGACCCATATAATCTACTAGTTTGACACATTAATCTCTAATATATGTTTCATTCATATTTTAAGAGGTGATATGTATACTTATTTCCATTCTCATAATACGATTTACATTTGAAATGAATATTTTAACACAATTTAATCAATATAATCCTTTAATGACTATTAAATTTTGTACCAACAAGTAATAGACAATCCAACGTCTAATATTTGGTTGGAAAAAGCATAAGGAATTTGAGGGGCATATTTTAAAATTGTTGTCAAAATTAAATCACTAATCCACTCCTTTTTCAAACTTTTTTATTTTACTTTTTATACAAAAAAAAATTGATTTTTTAATTTGTAATTAAATTATCTAAAACATATTTAGTATTTTGATTAAATAAATTATAACAAAAAACGATAGCTTCATTATCTATTTGATGAGTGCGTGCACGGGACCGACGAGTGCTATTTATGGAAAGACCTATTAGGCCTCAATCACGGTCTTAATTCAACTTATTTTCGTAAGTAAAATATTTTTGAGGTATGAAAGATGCTTTTAATATTAAAAAAAATGAGTGTCAACCAAAAAAATCGTTTGACGTCAACCAAAAAAGTCCCTTGAAATCATAAAAAAGACTTAAAAATCCCTCAAAACAGTGGAATTTGGTTAAAAACACATCAAATAAATTTGCAGGCATTTGATTCACCTTAAAGATACACCTAATCGATTGTCGCTTGCCTAATCTAATTGTCCCTTTTTTAATTATTTTGACGTTTATTTAAATGAAATGGTAGTATTGTCTTTCAGCGTTTAATGGATATTTTGAATTAATTACGGTAGTTATCAGATGAAATCATTTATTTTTTTAATGAGATTTTCTTATTCATGGTAAACGTCGTCTTTATTATCTAAGAAATATATCTTCATTTTCTTTTTTGTTCATCTCGTTGTCTACGTTTTTACTTTCTTTCATCAATGGAGCACGTTGATATATCTCCTGTTTTTTTTTTTGTTAGTTTTCATTCAATAAAACATACCATTTCAAGAATGAAATATGAAACATGAAACCATCACTATTTCAACAATGAAATTATGTTCTGGTTCCATGAATGAATTTGGGTTTTATTTTTGTTAAATGAATGAAATTGAGTTTTGTACCAGTAAAACCAAAAAAACTGCAAAACTGAACCAAAAATCTGAATAAAAATATGAAGTTTGACTAGTAATATATTTCAAAAATAGAACCGATTACAAAATAAAAAAAAAATCCTATTAAAATAGGCAAAAATCCGAAGTAGCTTATTTAAAAGTCTTACTCAAGAGGAGGCTGACTCTCTCGAGACTAAATTTACCGAAGAAGAGGTATGTAATGCGATGAATCTTTGTGGGAGCTTAAAGGCTCACGGTCCTAATGATTTCCATTTCAATAATTTTAAGAAATTTTGGCATATTATGAAGGTTGAAATACTCGATGTCATGGGGGATAAAGAGATGATAAATTCGTGATGTAATGCCTCGTTTTTAGCTTTTATCCCGAAGATTCCAAACCCGATTCACTTTCGGGACTTTCGTCCCATCAACTTTGATTGGTAGCCATTATGAAATAATCGCAAAAACGTTGGCAGAGACTCGAAAAGGTTGTGGGAAAACTTATTGGGGGAGACTCGGCATGCTTTTCTAGAAGATAGATTCATATTGGATGGGGTATTGGTTGCGGACACCCCAGTGGCTTTTGCGAAGAAGAATAAATTAAAAAATGAGAATCTTTAAAAATTGATTTCGAGGAGGCCTTTGACTGCTTGAGTTGGGATTATCTTCGGGACATTATGGTTCAAATGGGTTTTGGAGGCAAGTGGTGTCGTTGGATTTGGGCGTGTTTGAGTTCGAAAACCGTTCCCATTTTAGTTTATGGATCAAAGACACCAGAGTTTTGATTGCAAAAGGGGGTGCATCAAGGTTACCCATCATCTCCATTTCTATACTTGATTGAGATTGAAGGTCTAAATGTAGTGATGCAAGAAGCTCAAAACCATGGTGTTTTTAAGGGTATTTCGGTTGGCCGTGATTGGGTTTGGATTACCCATCTTCAATTTGCGAATGATGCAATCTTCTTTGGGGATTGGGACAACAACAATATTCAAAACTTAATGGGCATCTTGAAGTGTTTCCAACTAGCCTCGGGTTATATATAAATGTGGCTAAAAGTAAACTTTATGGTGTCGGTGTGTCTGATCACACTATTTTGGATATGGCTTTGGGGATGTGATGTAGTGCGGGCCTTCTTCCTTTCATGTATCTTGGTCTTCTGATTGGTAGAAATATGAACAAAATCGAGAATTAGAATCAAGTCATCGAGAAATTTAAAGCCAAGCTTTCTGTGTGGAAGATGTGGTGCCTCTATTAGGGTGTTAGATTAACTCTTCTAAAATAAGTTATGGGAAGTCTTCCTCTATACTTTTTCTCCTTATTTTGTGAGTCGTCTCGAGTCATCCATATTCTTGAGAGTGTGAGGAGAGATTTCTGGGGGAGGGGATGATTTCATTTGTAAGTGGGCTTGGGGTTAAATGGAAACTATTTTAAACACCTTTGAGAAGGGGAGGCTTAGGGGTGAGCAGTCTTCAGGTGGCAAACTGGGGTCTTATTAGGAAATGGTGGTGGAGATTCTTTACTAGCAGTAAAGTTCTTTGCGTTCGGGTTAATAAAAGTATTTATGGCCAAGATGGGGGTCTTGGGGAATACAGGAATATGGGTTCTAGAGACCATCCAAGATTTGGGTTGCTTGGTGCTTGGGGTGGGGTGTTCTGTGTCGCTTATGATTTGGAAAAACTTTGGTATAGCCTTTTTGGACTCCTTTGGGATTCAAGTTGGTAATAGTGAAAACTCTTCCTTTTTGGGATGATAAGTGGTTGGGTAATTACAGATTTCGTGAAAAACTTCCCATACTTTATCGGTTGGAAAAGGATAAAAGGGGTTTCGGTTCGAAACCATGTGTCTAGATGTGGTGATACCTAAGGTGGTTCTTGGGATTGGGTACGGGAGCCGAGAGAGAGGACGAGTGGTGAGATGGGAGAGTTGAATTCCATGCTTTGTAATGCCTTGATGCGGGTTCATGAGAACGACAGGCAGTTTTGGCGATTGAGTGAGGATGGTGGCTTTTCGGCCAAATGCTTAAGGATTTTGATTGATTGTCACTTTTGCAGATTCCGGAGGATATATTACACACCCAATGGTGCTAAATTGTTCCAAGAGAAGTTTATATATTTATCTGTCGTCTTGGATGGAGGCGATTCCAATTTCCAACTATTCTTCACAGCAAAGGCATAAACCTTGATTCCATTCTTTGTCCGTGTTGTGAGAAAGAGATCGAACCTTTCGATCATTGTTTCATCAAGTGTCCAAAGAGCTTTCAACCGTGGGAGAAAAATCTTCAAATGGTGGGGTTCAAGCATCTCACCATCTATCTGCCTATATGATCTCATTGCATGTACGAACTATATTGTCTTTTGAAATACAATTAAGATATATTGAAAACTGATGATTTGGTGTACTGTTTACTCAATTTGGGTTCATCGGAACAACCAGACTTTTAAAGCGATTGACAATCAACAAATCGACAGGTTTTTTCAGCCTCAACTTCTCTTCTCTTGTTCAATTAGATATCCAAGCATGCAAAAGGATTTGAACTCTCTTGGTCGGATTGGTGCGGGGGTCAGGATTTTGACGGTTAGCTCTTACTCCTCTTAATTGTTCGGGTCGCAGCTAGATTCCAGTCTAGAGTACTTCATTTTAATTTTGATGATGGTTTCAGTATGTCGTGTTCTTGGTTGAACTCTTGCTCCTTAGGCTCGCCACACTTCCTTATGCAACTCTATTTTGTTCGGGTTTGCGTTGTTCGGTGTGGTTTCTTTCTGCCTCTTGCAGATTCCCTTGTAAGTTTTGGACGTTTTAATAAATTTGTTTGTTGCATTTAAAAGAAGGCAAAAAAAAAAGCTGGTAAATTACTTTTGGACATTACAATATTAATTATAATATTAAAATGTTCCAATTTTCATAAAATATTATTTCTTTTTTCAATACATTTAATAATTTTTATTGGTAGGAGGAATAAAAATATTTTTTTCCCATATATAATCATTTTTGGAGAGTTTCAAAAGTTAAGGAATTTTTATTCCTTCAAATCCAAGGAGGAATAAAGATCCCCTTGTTGCCACGGAGTTTCAAATACGGTGACTCCGGACTATCTGCAAATCAAGTAGTCGTTCTGGGATTAGTCGATTCGCATAACGAGTTGGATATCCAGGTTAATAAAAAAAAGTTAAAAAATTTCACCATCTCTCTCGTACTTTTTTCATTTTAAAGAAGGTTTTAGACAATTTATTGGAATAAAAATATCAAAATTTTCTATTTTAAAGAAATTATCACGTATTTTTGTTATTAGATAGTTCATAATTTGTCAATCATAAGATGACTTGGAATCATGTGAGACCGATGGTTTTTTGTAAGACTTGTAAGATTAATTCTCAATCCTTGAATTAGATCTACAATCTGAACTTTCATAATCACAAAATTACCACGAGACTTCTCAATAATCATAAAATTGCCACCGCACAACTTTAGACCATTAGATCATTAGCTTATAAAGTTAACCAATAAACATAAATTAGTTTTATGGATCTTACGAAAAACCATTGATCTCACAACCCATCAAAAGATACATTATCTTTAAAATATTATATAGGTGGAAATGTATCGACTAATCAGAGAGATAAAAATGTGATGGAGGGAGAAAATAGTAATCTAATCCAATAATTCAAGACGATAACATCATGGTATTTATGGGGCTAATTAACCAATGCAAGATCAAGAAACAATGGATGAATGCAATTGAATAAAGCAACATACGGCAGACGATCCGCCCCAGCCCCACCCCCCACCTCCACCTCCACCTCCACCTCCACCTCCACCTCTCTCTGCATCGGGTACTGAATAGCCCACGTTAAAGACCCCCCCTATCATGGATTCCTTCCAATTACACCCCTTCTTTCTTCTTCCTCTTTCTCTCTCCTGAACTCCCTCTATCTCTCTCTCTCTCTCTCTATATATATATATGTATGTATGTATATATAGAATTGAGGGATATTGCATATGCTATATTTGTCTGTACTCGTACGTGATATTGAGTAGTGCTGCAAAAGCTCAGAAGAATGGTTGGATTTATATGAGAAAACATGGTGCTCATTTCCTGTTGTTGATGAACACCACTTGCCTCCTTTCATGGATTCCACCTCTTCCCGAAAAGGTAATCAATCAATATCTCATCAATCGATCTATTTTATTTTTGTTTTTCTTGATGGGATTTTCGATTCTTCAAGCTGTTTTTCTGGGTTTTGATTGTTCTTCATTCGACACATAGCTCAAGGATCGAATATATATATATATATCAAATAAAATACTGGTCTTTGTTTAATGGAAGGATTTGTTGATGACAGTGACATGTTGATTCGGATCTGGTTGATAGTATTACTGCATGATTGTTATGTAAGTTCCATCATCTGCCAGCCATGGCCATGGCCATAGCCCATAGGCCATAGGGTCTAGCTAGCCTTTTCCAACAGATTGGACTCATGATAACAGTTTTAGTGAATGTGGTTCGTGCAAAGAAAACAAAAAGTTCCACAAATCAAGTTTTCTTACAATCCTGATTAGATGAAGATGAATTACATTTATATACACACAGACACCAATCAGATTCAAGTGGTTCAGCTCTGCAGATGGTGAGAATTGCATATGTTTGTGTATTGTAATCCTTTAAAAAGTTATGAGTGAGTTAATACTCTCATATAAATGCATTTAGATCGAGGAGTTGAGGTGGCCCATCATACACCAGAGCCATAAAGATGATTACAGAAAGATACCAGGATTCTAAAAAAAGAATCTGAACCTAATATTTCTCAAACTCCCATAACACATTTAATGGTTGTTATATATATATATATATATATATATATATGGATTAACCTGGATATCCAACCCGATATGCGATCCAACCCGATATGCGAGCCGACTAATCCCAGGGCGACCACCTGCTTTGTAGATAACCCGGAGTCACCGCATTTGAACCTCCGTGGCCACAAGGGGATTTTTATTTCTTCTTGGATTTGAATCTGAGACCTCCTGGTACTTTTGACCTTTGGAGCCAAACTCAAACCAATCAGACACCATCCTTCTGGTTATATTTTTGTTTTTAATGTCAAAATACTTGCTTTTACCTTCAAGGTTGATGTGAGTATGAAAAGGTCAATAACCATATCAAAATTGAAGTATTATAAATATGAAAAGAAAGGTTGATTATATTGGCAAATGGAAATTAGACTTGTCAAAGTTGGATAAGAAAGGTTTAGATTAGTTCCAAGTGTATCTTGATCTCCTTATCTTTATTTGTTTTTATGGGCATTTTTAGAATTTTATATGGGTTTAATCTAATAGAGAAAGAAAGAAAATAAAAAAATGTAGTCAATTATCTAATTATGGGACAGTCTGCAAATTTGCAATTCTACTTTGGTTGTCTTTCATCTTAAAAGTCAAATGGTTTGTTTTGTTTTTATATCTATTGGTGCAATATTTTTGCCATATTTATGAGTTTTAGTGACCTTTAACCCCATCTCTTGAGTAGGGTATATTGGGTTTGTTTGATTCGGTTTTAATGATCAATGACGTTCACTAGAATTTGAGTAGGGTATGAATATGTCATCAACTAGACTGTTTTTTGAGTAAGAGAGATTTTTGTTAATTTGGTTTCTTGAGGGTATGGTATAAACTAAGCACAATGGTTCATCAACCTGTGAAATCTGTCCAGCATATAATTCTACAAACTTGTAATCTATATGTATTCTATTTCGAATTTTTCACCAGAAATCTATGAATTCTTAGAAATGGTTGCAAAATTTAGTGTACACAGTAGCAAATACTAAACAAAATGGTGAAATCCTTGATAAGTTCAAAGTTGAAAATTAATTGGTTAGATTTGGGAAAGTCAAACTTATCTGATTATGAGTTTCTAGAACAAGTCAATCAGACTGATGGTCAAATCTTGATGATCTGTTTGTTTCTCTGGCTCTAGGACATGTATTAGATATGTTAAAGCATGTTTATGTGATCTTTTAACTATCCTAATGAAAGTTGTTGGTCAAATCTTGATGATCCAAGAAGTCAAACCTACTATTTTCCAAACACAATTAATTTGGATATTTGGAATCTTTAAACCATATCAAGGAAATCAAATCATGACCCAATTGTTTCTTTGGCTTCAGGGTGTGTATTAGATCCATCAAAGTGTAGAAAAAGTTGAGAATGGAGGAAAAAAGAGAGATTGTATATGAAGTATCAGAATGGTCACAAGGTGCAGCCGAACTGTTGCAATCATGGAGCCGTCAAGAGATCTTGCAAATTCTCTGTGCCGAGATGGGAAAAGAAAGAAAGTATACGGGGTTAACAAAGTTGAAAATCATTGAAATCCTTCTGAAAGTTGTGGCCGATAAGAAATCACAGGAGGATAAGAATAGGACTACAATCGGCCTTGAATCATCAGAAACTGGTCATGGAAGGGGGACCAAAAGGCAGAGGAAAACCGACCACCCTAATCAACCGAATATTTCAATGGATAATTCTTTAACCAAGATTGTTGAATGTGATCCAGGTTATAATGAAGTCAGATTATGCAAAAATTCAGCTTGTAGAGCTAAATTGAGTCAAGAAGATGCATTCTGCAAGCGGTGTTCATGTTGCATTTGTCATCAATATGATGACAATAAAGACCCGAGTTTGTGGCTGATTTGCAGCTCAGAAGCTCCGTATAAGGGCAAGTCATGTGGGTTGTCGTGTCATCTTGAATGCGAATTGCAACACGAAAAATCTGGCATTTCAAAGGATGAGAATAATAGAGGATTAGATGGGAGCTTCTATTGTGTATCCTGTGGTAAAGTGAATGATCTGCTTCAGTAAGTTCTTTCCCATATTTGCTCTCCATCACTATGTTGGACAAGCTAGCTGTTGGCTGATAAACTAGTCATGTTTGGTAATACTAGCTGATAAGCTAGATAACAACGTAAAATAATATGTTGGAAATATATAAGGGGTATAATTGGACAAAACTTATTGAAATACTACTTCAAGTAGTAGCATTAAGCTAGCTTATGGCAAACCAAGTGATTTTTTCAATAAGTTCAAAAGATAAGCTACCTTATGGTTACCAAACATTGCCTTACTTTTTTGATTTATAAACAATCTAGTTTTGGGTAGTCTTTTTCTTGCATTTTGCAAAGAGGTTATTCTGGTCGTCATTAATTTACAGATGTTGGCGGAAACAAATGATGACAGCAAAAGACACGAGGCGTGTTGACATCTTGTGCTATCGTGTTTCTTTGAGCCAGAAGCTCTTGACTGGGACTCTGCATTATCGAAACCTTCACAAAATAGTAAACGAAGCAATTCAGAAACTCGAAGCAGATGTAGGCCCGTTGACCGGTTTGCCAGTCAAACGAGCCAGGGGTATTATCAACCGACTCTCTTCCGGCCAAGAGGTTCAGAGACTATGCGCCTTTGCAATCGAGTCCCTGGATTCAATTCTATCTAACACACATGATCCTGCTCTCAAAGGTCATTTTTTCCTTCATCTGTTTAATCCATATGTTTTGCCATAGTTCAGGTCAAATGAACTAACATCCAACAATGAAACTAACATGACCAATTACAACTGTATCAGTTTTATAGGATGCCAAAGATGTCTAAATGTACTAGTAGACTATTTTATAGGACTTAAGTTTATATGATCAAACAATTGTGCATCATATGTAAATGTGTTACTAAGGGGCCGTTTACTCAAATGCTTACCCGGTAAGTGCTTACAGATAGGATTCAACGTTTATAATTTATTTTGATACCTAAAATTTTAGTACATCAAAACATATCGAATGCAGCAAATTACTGGGTAAGTGCTTACCTGGGTAAGAGTCGTCATCCTTACATACCGGGTAAGACTCTCTATCCTTTTCATTACTCTTACAGGGTAAGATTCTTGACCCTTCTCATGTTCATCCGATAAAGAAATTTATCCGGTAAGCACTTACCAAGTAAGTGTTAATAGGACACTTTTGGGCATCCTAAAAAGTTTTTAATACATTTTTGAAAAGTGTCTGTAAACACATCTTTTCATGAGACATTACTTTTTCATATGTATGATGTCATACTTTTATTTCAAAATTTTCTAAAAAACTTGTAAAGCGTCGTATCAACTTATTGTAACACATTTACACATTCATGTACAATTGTTCGATCCTACAAGCTTAGTTCTATAAAGCATAATATTTGGACATTTTTTAGGGTCCTATAAAAGCCGATTTTGTTATAAGGTGGGTTTCTTGCAAATCTTGACCCCAAATTGTATTCTAACTGCAGTATATGTTACAAAGCTTGATGTTTTGCAGATCCCAGTATCCTGACTCCAGTTGTGAAGTACGAAAACGTCTGTCCCACATCGATTTTTGTGATTTTGGATTTCAAAGATCGGTCTTTGGATGAGAATCTTTCGGGCTATAACTATATAATATGGCATCGAAAAGCTCAAGATACTGATTATCCTTCAGAACCGACTTGTTTGTTGCTTGCAAGAAGTAGGACCAGATTCTTGCTCTCCAGTTTAACTCCATCAACACAGTATGTTTTAAAGATCATTTTGTGTCAAAAAAGCAGGGAGTTTTATAGCCGCGAATTCAGATTTCAAACAAGCACCGAAAGAGCCGAAAGAAGTCAAAGCCTGGCAACAAACTCTAGTGGTCTTTCAAATCCTTCTTCTGTTGAAGATGAGAATAAAACAGAAAAATCTAATGAACCAGACAAGAATGCCCCTGATGCTGTGAACAACAGCATCGGAAATGGCATAGAATTCGACCCATTTGTCCCTATGACTGAAGCTAACTTACCCATTACTCCCTGCAAAGCAGAAAGATCAAAAGACAGAAATCTAGCAAGAAAATCCAGACCAGAAGCCTTAACAAACAATCTTGAAGGCGGGTCTGGGAAGGAACAAGATGGTAGTTCTTCAAAAAAGAGAAGTGGGGAAGAAGGGCAAGAACGGGATTTTGGATATTACGTGAAGGTGATCAGATGGTTAGAGTGTAAAAGGCATATCGATACGAGTTTTAGACAGAAATTTCTAACTTGGTACAGCTTGAGAGCAAGCCCAGAAGAGGTTAGAATTGTCAAAGTGTTTATCGATACATTAATGGAGGATCCGGCTTCGCTTGCAGGGCAGCTTGTCGATACGTTTTCTGAAGCGATTACAAGCAAGAAGTGTTCAAAAGGGCTGTGCTTGAAGCTTTTTCACTGAAAAAGGTTAGGATCATTATTTACATGATGTTTTAAGTTATAAAGATTCATTATTCGATTGTATTTTTGATTTCTTATGATATATCTTCATCTGTTGTGTACGAATATTTAAGATTTTTGAGTTGATGGTGTAAATATATTCAATTATCTATGGAGTTAAAGAAAGGCTGCAGAGCTTATCGTTCGGTTTTTCCGATTTTTGGCAAGTTCAGGTGATCGTTATTATGTATGTATGGCTGAGCGAATAAAATTTCCATCACATATTTGTGTTAAACACGTAACACGAAATATAACAAAGAATCGGTTTACCCCATTTCACTTCTCATTGTTTCGTTCGGATGTAACAATAAAAATAGTCACATCATCAAAATGGTCTAAAATCGAAATAGAAGGAACTTATGTGTGTACATATAGCAAAAGGGGATTTTGTTTGTTGCAAAGTATGACCTCCTACACAAACTTGGATACAGCAGTAGAAATCCCCAAGAAATAGTACTAACTTGCAACATTAGATGACATTAAGATCGCTGACATCGCCTCAAAAAGGGATTATGCATTCTGTGTGCGTTTATCAAGCATCAAGCTTTCACCTGAATTTTCTCAACATCTGAACCGCCTGCAAAAGCAAAAACATAATATGATTATACAAAACTGCCGGTATTTGCATTCGTGTTCATAGTCTTTTTCTCGCATCAAAAGTACACCATTAAAATCAATTGAAAAAACTAACAGATTTCGAGCCAATACACTTAATCATGCAAAACACACTTTACGTAATGGTTTATTATGTTCTTCTTCATCGTGTATTCGATTATTGTGAACACAATTAACTTTTATGGGCTTGTGCATTGGATCTTAGATTAGTCACGGTTAGATGGAGATGTAAACAACTCACAATATAAGCTTAAAGGTTATATGTCACATTTTGTTCCAAACTTAAGGGTTGTTTACTGTGACAGCCTTTTGAATCATGATTACCCAAACTAAGACTATATAATTACAAAAGAACTCTATGATCTTGAATTGATTACTAGTACCCAAAAAAACTACCCATTTTTTGCAGCAGTTTTCTCTATGGAACATCATTTTTCTGTAACAAATTTGAAAAACAACCCAGAAAAAGAACAAGAATAAGCATCAATGACATAGAAACTTTGAAACTGTCGTGAAGGACCTAAACATTCTCCATTGTCTTGGATACTGATCATCCTTAAGCAACTCAAGAAATCCTAAAGAAAAATAGATAGATCTCGAGAGGGTTCAGGAAATTGTCAAAGAAATCAACTGAGTCATAAAAAACCAACCACAAATATAAAAGTGCAATACGTTTTTTTATCAAATTTTCAACAAATCTAATTATGGAAAAATCTAGCCTACTAGTATCAGTAACATATTTGATTAGAATTGAAAAATCCAACGGCAAGGGTACAAAACTGGAGCATACACAGGTATGTGGTTCTAATTTTCTTCCAAATTCTGTCCTACATCATCTATTGGGATGCCAATGGCCCTTCCTATCAAACTAGATGAGTTAGATCCAAGTCCATTCCATCTGTATAAATTTCAAGTGAAAGTTGAAACCAAAAGAACAGTTCCCGAGCTAAAAGACACCTCTTTAACAAAGCTACACCATTGCCTTGTATGGTTTATACACGACATTAAGTATACTCTAAATATGAAAAGTATAGCTGGCATCCAAGGGGATGCATTATGTAGTCCAGGGGTAGGAGTGGCTGTGATACAGTAGTTGTATCTGACTCTGACAAAATACAAGCACCAATTTGTAGACCTTACATAGTTAAAGTTACAAATCATAACAATTAGAAGAAAAGAACAACAATGTCATTGCTTTTACTATTTTAATAGTTGTTACTTTCATTTGTTTGAATAGAATAAAACATATCATTCACAAGCATCTACAATTCAAAATATAATTGCTTGAATATTTAACTGAATCAAATACAACTATAATCGGAATCATTATTTAATTAATGTTGGATAAACACAAACTTGGATTAGATTTTTTTTTTGAATTTGGATATTTCACTTGTTACTGAGTCCAAAATAGGTCGTTAAACGAATTTTTGGTTTCCATTTAAGAACTTACATGGAGGTTAGCCAACTAGAAAGCTGACTTGTAACCGAGGCAATTATAGGACCATGTCACAGTGTCAATAATAATTCAATCTCTTCTCTCTTCTTTTTTGATTCTTCTACTCAGATGTTGAATCTTTGTTGTCTTTAAGATTATTTTGCTTTATGTTACACTTCATTGGACTTGTAATGCCTTATGCTTGATTGAATACTTCATATAGCATCTATTTATGTGCATTAATGGTATATCGTAGTACAAGTTATTTTATTTTAAGTTTTTATGCATAAAAACTATCTATGTTTAGCGTATGTTCTGAGGTATAACTGATATACATGAAATATGCATTTGAAAGACTAGGCGCCTTCCAAAAACTTGGTGGGCACCTTGCTGCCTTGACAACCTTGGATTCATTCCAATATCTTCGACTAGTTTAACGAACCAACTTAACCAAGTAGAGCAATGATTCCAGTTCTATTCCATCATACTAACATTGATGACTGAAAGAATATTTAGATATAGACAGTCTAGAATGACAAACAACAATATATGATCGAACTATGAAAACAACAAAGGCCACCAAAAGATCATATAATCACTAATCATTAAGTAAACTCTGCTATTTAATTTTGCAAGCAAGCCATATATAACATTTGTGTTCATAGGACACCATCCCTCCCAACATACTTCACATAAGACTAACCCAAGTTCTTCAACAATGAATACATATCCTTTTTAGCTGAAGCAGGATGTCTAAGAGAAAAACGAGGATTCCAATGCAGTAAATGTAAATAAGATGAAACAACAGCAATGCAACTTGATTTCTTCAACCAAAATATCCAATGCAACTTGAGCTCAATTTCGTATTACATTCATTAAATTTTAAGGAAATAAACAGAAGCAAAAAAGATGGAGCTTGAATTGAGAAATAAAAACCCTAACCTCAATCAACGGTTTACTTCAGCAGGCAATGGGCGATTGAACCCACCACGGCGGTTCATGTACTGGCGTGGCTGTCTTTTAGTCACCGCTCTGATCCCGCTCACATCATTCCCTTCGACTGGCTTCCCTTTAGTTGAATCGAACCCAACCGGAATTCCCATCATCTTCATCATCTCTATTTCATTGGCATCCATCTCACCACCAGCATCATCTTCAACCATTTCTGCGTCCTTAGAATTCTTCTGCTGCTGTTTCTCCTTCACAATTCCATCCACAAACTCCGAAACGACAGAGGCAGCACGCTGGCCATCTTCATCCCCGTGCTTGCGACGCTTCCGCGATTGGTCCGGAGACGGGGTACGGTGGTGGCTTCTCCTACGGTGCCTGTCCGTGGATCGAGAACGCGATCGGTGGTGGTCCGGGGAGCGAGTCCGAGACCTAGTGTGGCGAGAACGAGCTCGGTCTGGCGTGTACGACCTTTTGCTCCTGTCTTTACGGTCCCGGTCCCGGTCCCGCTCTCTATCCCGGTCTCGTTCCCGGTCATGGTCGACGTGCCGGTGCCGGAGACGATCCCGGTCGTCTCGATCTCGCTTCCGGTCCCTGTCTCTGTCCCGCCGATCGCCCATTGCTCTGTCGTGTAAGGGTTACAGGGTCGGCGAGCGGGTTTAGGGCTTGCTTCTATCAAGACTGGTGCAACCAAGTTTGGGGGTTTAATCGTTTTAGGGGCAAAAAGGTAAAACTATACAAAACAAAAAATCATATAACCGACATAATTTGATCATGATTTTTTTTAAATAAAGTATTATTCGGTAAAAATAAACCACCACAACATTGTATGATCATGAAATTAATTGAACGGTTGAGATTGATTTTCACATATTACATCCGAGTGGTCTTTATCTAATTTGTCCAGCAACAAATAATTTATAAGGTTTTATTATTTATTTCCTTTACAAAAAGGAAACATCGAAGACGATGACCCATGAATTGCACAATCATGTTTATTCACATTAAATATAATTAGAATCGTCAAAAATACGATAAACTTAGGGGGCCGTTTATTAAATGCTTACCCGGTAAGTATTTACTGGACAATTTTTCTTATCGGATGAACATGGCAAGGGACAAGAATCTTACCCGGTAAGAGCAATGATAAGAATGAAGAGTCTTACCTAGTAAGTGAGGGTGACGACTCTTGCCCGGGTAAACACTTACCAGGTAAATTGTTACATAAGATACGTTTTGATGTACTACAATCTTATCCGATAAAATAAATTATAATGTTGACTCTTAACTACAAACGTTTACCGGGTAAGCATTTAGATAAACGGTCTCTTACTCTTAGATTTATATTTTTTGATTATATTTCCGACTTATCAATAGTTGATGTGTCATGAGGCTTTATGAATGGTCGAGTGCTTTATTACCTTTTTTTTTTCTTTTTGCAAAAGATGGTATTTAAAACAATAGTCATTCAAAAGCTAAAAAGCAGACGTGCACTATTCAATTGAAGGGGATCTAAGGTGTTATTTATCAAACACTTACCTGATAAGTGTTTGTCGGTAAAATTTAATACTATCGTATGCAATAATTTATCCGGTAAGCGCTTACCATGATAATAATCGTCACCCTCACTTACCGGGTAAGACTCTTGGTCCTTGTCTCGCTTTTACCAGGTAAGATTCTTGATCCTTACCATATTCATCCGATAAAGTAACATGTGAGTCTACAATATGATCAGTCTTCATATATCTTCATATACATGGCAGATTCAATATAATCTTCAAGAACAACTTGAGAGGAGTTAAGAGGAAAAGTCAACAAGTCAAAGCTCTTATAACTCTCACAAATGTACATATGTTTACAATGAAGCTCTCTTACAAATTACATTAAAGACAAAAGCTTATATAGGGTCAAACTAAGAACCCTTCTAGTTAAAGTCAATATGTCATACAAAGTCAAACACGATATCTATACAATTATAGACAATTATTAACTTTTAAGATGAATACAACTTAACACTGAAATTCAGTTCCAACATAATATGACTTGGTAAACGCTTACATGGGTAAGTGTTTGGTAAACGGCTCCTAAATCTAGAAGAGACAACCAAAACTCAAAAGAGATGTTAACAAGATACACCACATAAGAAATCATGTGTTTGACAGAACTTCAATTCCGTAACCTTGTATTGGGAAGTGATAAAATCATCGAAGGTCAAGATGTTTCTGATACCATACAACCATTTAGTTATTAAACCTTCTAGCAACCTTGGAGTTACCCTTGAAGCGTTTTCTACTAATAACAAAGCTCCTAACGATCATTTGGAGTGAAGTATCAAATGGCTAATAGTTTCATTATATGTTGCATGCAATACAAACTTGATATATGATTCTCCTATGAGTGAACAATGTCTTGATTTCGGTGCAATCTTGAATGAGAACTAATGATGGCACTAAAAGTTTGATAGAATTTCGACACTTTATATAAACCCAGACCATGAAATAGAGGATAGAAGAGCAAAATATAGAACTGGGTATGTTGTTATCGATACTAGATATGCATTATTTTCATCTGATATAAATAAAATTATAACTGTTACTTGATATATATCTTACTGTAATCTTCAACCCTTTTGAAATTGTTTGTGGATGTCATATACGACTCAGCAAAACAAATCACCTGATATCTTATTTCCATCCCAATGATATTTATTTCGTATCAGTTGTTTTATTGGATACAATAACATGTACTACACGCAACTAGAGGAATAGATGGTTCAATATATTAAAACCATACGATGACAATTGACATGCATAATCAAGCACATAAAAGTTTGTACATCTATTAATGGCTGCAAGCGTTTAACAATTTTTTCTTACCTAAGAGAGTTGAACAACTTCACTTGACAACCTTTAAATGCAACTCCTGAATAGAACTAACATGTCCTGTCACTACTGGTATCCACTCGATCAAGTTACTTTGTGTTTTTTAAAAAAATAACGGAATATTAAGACATGTCTGGTTTTATGACGATAAAAGCTTCAAAATGCAATTTATGTACTACAAAAGTGTTTAGTAAAAACAACTTATTTAGCATTAGATATTGTTTATTAATGTACAATATCTTAAAGGTTAACTTTACAACTTAATTATTATCACATGCGCACAAATTTTTAAAGCTTCAGTTTTGAAATCCACAAAATTAACTGAGAACGATTGATAAACATGTTCAAATACAAGACGAACACTGAGCCTTGTTAATACTACAAAATACTTCATAAATTTCATATTTTCTTTTACAACGAGAAATTGCATTAACATTTTACTCTCGTTATATATATATATATATATATATATCTGTGTGTGTGTGTGTGTGTGTGTGTGTAGACTTGGGATCATGTGAGACCAATGGTTTTTCGTGAGACCCGTAAGACCAATTCTCAACCCTTGGATTAGATCTACAATCTGAACATTCATAATCAKAAAATTGCCACGAGACTTCTCAATAATCACAAAATTGTCACCGTACAATTTTAGACCATTAGATCATTAGCTTATAAAGTTGATCAATGAACATAAATTGGTTTTATGGGTCTCACGAAAAACTTTTGGTCTCACATGAACTCAACCCTATATGTGTGTGTGTGTATATATATATATATATATATGAATGTATATGTATGTGTATATATATATATATATATATATATATATATGTGAAGAATCGTGTGAGAAAAAGAGTTAATTTGAGAAGCGTAAGAAGAGATCTGAACCCTGATCATTTTTAATCTCATGCCCATCTAAAAATTGTGCTTTAAAAGAAAATTGATGTGATGCACCTCATTAGTATTGACATTCAATTAGGATTGATCAAAGGGTGGAGATCTCTTATTACGTTTCTCACCGTAACTTCTCTTTTTACCGACAACGACGACTAATTAGCCCAAATACATGAATTATGGACCCCACTATATATTTTTTCCCAATATAAAATTTATTTTTAATTAAGAACATATATTTATTTTTATCATGTGTGATTTATTTTTATGAGGAATATATATTCATTTGGTCTTAATGGTTTTAAGGGTATCTTATTGGGTCTTCAAGTTTTTTCATATCAATAATTTAAATTAATAACTATATATTATAATTCTATATTAATATAAATTGATTTAAAGTTTATTTATTTAAAAGACGTTAGGTTGTCCCTCTCCATCTCTTTCAATCTCAATGCCCCTCTTGTTTACATCTAATTGCTGTTTGCCAGAGCAACCAACCATTCCACCTTTGCGTTCACTGGAACAACCAACCAACCATTCCACCTTTGCGTTCACTGGAACAACCAACCAACCATCACCATCGAATATTAAAAGAAGTTACGTTGTCTCCTCCGCGTCCTACCACATTATCTCTGATAAGCACGAAGACTTGATGCAGCGTTCATCTTGACTTGCTAATGTCATTATATCCAAAGAAGGAGAGAAGTATTATGCTATTATTTGTCGGCCATCATTGAAGGAACTTTGGGGTTTATATTTTACAGCCTAACCCTTTCTATGATCCAACAACCCTTGATTTACAGTCCTCTCGATCGAGCATTTCAACGTTCAACCTTTACTCTTGTCGTTCTCTCTCTGTGCGCGTGTGTTCTTTTTGAAAAAAGTCCCAACCGTATGTGTGTATCTATGTGACCCTGATGTTTTAGATGGATCTAGGTCACAAAAGGCAACAAAAGCAAGCAATTACGTTAAGTTTGGTTTTGTTTATGAGGTTTAAACTTGTGTTTGATTTTGATTTTGATTTTGACGTTTAGTTTTAGGGGGTCGGGGAGTGTACGAGATAGGGGGAGTGAGAAGGGATGACATGTGAATTGTTTTGGTGGTTGCAAATATAATGATAAAAAATGGCAAAATACCAAAATTACCCCTCACTTACAAATTACAATAGAATCAACAACTGTTAATAGTAGGGACCAAAACGGTACAAAAATGCAAACTCTGAGGACTATATCAATAGAAAAAACACTCGGAGACTAAATCTAAGACAAATTTAAAACCACAGAGACCAAATTCGTAATTTACTTTTTTTTATTGTTAATTAAAATAATATACTATTTTTTTCCATGTAGTTTATATTAATTAATAGATTATATGCGATATTATATACGGTACATATAATTATGTATAAGGATCGAAAGCAGTTATATGTGATCATATGCAATCATGTTAAAGATCACAAACAATATAGGTGGGGAAAGCGGATAAAATGACATGAAGATTTATGGACCTCCAAATATTTAACCCACGAATAAAATTAAAAGAAAATAAAGTAATTATTTAAGGATAATCTTGCGATTATTTTTGTAATTTTGTTAACATCTTTATATCTAAAATCACATACAGATAATACGATAACCGGTATCAAATGATTATCACAGTAAAATCACATAATGAACAGACATGCCGATTAATGCAGACATGATCAACTTTGGTTTTCGATTATCACAACAAAAATCACATAATTATTAGATGATTATCACATCAAAATCATATCATAACACAATCTTCAATTTATCAAATTATCATCACGGCAAAGTCATATCATTATCACATAATAATATTATCATATCATTATTGACAATGGACACATCGACATAAAAAGTCTCCAATAATAATAACAAA